ACTCGTCAACGGAAAACGAGCGCCAGCACTAGCAATTTCGCTGATTTCAAAACGGATAGTATCTTTTTTGAAAACGGGAGAATGATCATTTATGTCTGTTATTTCTACTGTAATTTGATGCAACTCCATCGGGTTTTCTAAAATCACCTCAAAGCTGAAGCTACACGGTGTTTCGTCTCCACAAAGCTGCTCTCGGTCTATTCTCTCTTTCACGACTAGAATCCCTTTGTCTGTCTTCAGCTCGGTGTAGTGGATGTTTTCTCCGGTCACGATACGGGCCCGCCCAGAACGAAGCCTCTTCAGATCCAAACCGAGATCCTGTGCTACATTACCGATTAGGGAGCCTTTCTTCATCTCCTCTGGGATTGAATATCGGATTTGTCCGCTGACCACTTGAATTAGATATATCAAGAAAAACAGGAGCTTCCAATTATGTCCGCATCCATAGTGCCATCTCACGCATCGAGAGTGTGGAGAGATTCCACACGCCATTCCAAAAATAAAAATAGGAAAATATACTCTGCAGCGAAAAAGACACGACCGATATCCTTTAGTTTCTATTTATCCGAATTGAGATTGAAATTCTTGCGAGTGTGTTACCCTCAGATATCAGCCCACTAAGTGCACACCACCTCCTTTTCTCTCATAGGGAGGGGACTTTGTGATAACGTTTTGGAAAAACGTAGATTAACCAACAGCGTCGCTTGGAGTCCAAAATCAGTAACACCGTGCAAGATAGAATACATTCTGGAAATATTAAGTGATTGATTACATCTGAATGGTGCATACTCAAACTATGAAAAAATACATCATCTAAGTATTCCGTAAAATAAAATAAAAATACATATTCATCTCAAATTAATTATTATCATTTATGTATTTGTTTGCAGTTAAATCTTTATAAACGAAAATAGAAACAGAATTACCAAACAAGTAACCCAAATGAACACAAGCAAAGTACAACTTCAATCCTATTTAATTTAGGGAAACAATGTGAAATATAAAACATGGGGCTTGGTAAAACTAATTGAGATTAAATAAGGAACGTATTGATTGTTAGTAAAAAAAAATCAGGTCAAGAGCAAACCACAACCACTATTTCAAACGTTTTAACAGACTGGAGAGCAGCCTCGATGCAAACCACATAAACAAATTACAAGACCAAAGTAAAACAAAATGCGTCTAAAAAAAACTTTGTCTATGTAAAACCAAAAATCAGCATATTAATAAGAGGGAAAAAATGAGAAGAATATTTTGTAAAGTTCTTAATGTAAATAATGAAGCGGTATTCATATCAAACGAGAGGAGAGATGCTGTCCATGGTGCTGAATAGGATGCAGCACTTCACTAACAATGTCTCTAAACACAGAAAAAGAGGAACCGTCACAGAAAGCTACATTATTTGACTAACCTCTAGAGGAGAGTCGGGTTCATCCAAGATGCTCTTTTCACTCTGTATCCGCTGCATCGTCCCTGTAGAACTGGGGTCCATTATCATCACGTTCTGACTACCAGCTCTGCCGAACTTACAGTCACTCTTTCTGGAGTCAGTCGTCCTGCACACCTCGTAATTGTACACATGTTGGAGAGTCCCTGTCCCCAAAGTGTCTGAGTAACGTGGTGGATAATATGGAATCACAGGGAGATTGGAGTGAAACATGAGGCGAGACTGTCTCCACCTGTAGATCTTCACTGATATAATAACCACTAAACACGTGATGAAGAGGAAGGACACTACAGCCAGAGCCAGCACTAAGTAAAAAGTCAGGTTGTCATTGTACTCCTTGTCCTGTGTAAAGTCAGTGAACTCAGACAGCACTTCCGGAAAGCTGTCAGCCACCACCACGTTAACAATGACTGTGGCTGAACGAGAAGGCTGCCCGTTGTCCTCCACTATAACAGACAGTCTTTGTTTCACAGCATCTTTATCAGTCACCTGGCGGATAGTCCTTATTTCTCCATTCTGTAAGCCCACTTCAAACAGCGCCCTGTCTGTGGCTTTCTGCAGTTTATAGGAGAGCCAGGCATTCTGTCCAGAGTCCACATCAACAGCCACCACTTTAGTGACCAGATAGCCCACATCTGATGAACGAGGCACCATCTCAGCCACCAGAGAGCCACCAGTCTGGACTGGGTACAGGACCTGAGGAGGGTTGTCGTTCTGGTCCTGGATCAGTATTTTCACAGTCACGTTGCTACTGAGTGGAGGAGAGCCTCCATCCTGAGCTTTGACTACCAGCTGAAGTTGTTTAATTTGCTCATAATCAAAAGAACGAATTGCACTAAGAACTCCAGTTTCAGAGTTCAAAGACACATAAGTAGAAACTGGACTTCCACTGACTTGTGTTTCCTCTAAAAGATAAGAGATTCTGGCGTTTTGGTTCCAATCAGAGTCCCGTGCGCTGACAGCAAATATTGTCGCTCCAGGTGAATTGTTCTCTGTTATGTAAGCGGAGTAACTATTTTTATTAAATAATGGTGCGTTGTCATTAACATCAGACATTTTAAGATGTAATTTTGTTGAACTAGAAAGTGGGGGAGAGCCCATGTCAGTGGCTGTTATTGTTATATTATACTCTGAGACAGATTCTCTATCAAAGTGTTGATCTGAGATCAAATTGTAATAATTTGTTAGAGAAGATTCTATCTTAAAGGGAAGTTTACCATCTATTGAACATTTGATTTGCCCATTTTTTTCAGAGTCTGGATCTTTTATATTTAAAATGGCAATTGTTGTACCAGGAAGTGAATCCTCAGAAACAGGGCTTGAAAAAGACATGATATTTATAACTGGGGCATTGTCATTGACATCCAAAACATCAAATATAATTTTACATGTTCCTGTTAAACCACCCTGATCCTTTGCCTCTACTCTCACCTCGTATTTTCTGTCTTTTTCATAATCTATCTGCCCAGACACAGAAACTATGCCGGTGTTTTCATCAATACTGAATACATTTGCTGCATTTCCTTTTGTTTTTGACAAACTGTAAGTAATATGTCTATTTGAACCACTGTCAGCGTCTGTGGCATTTACTGAGATAATGATCGTGCCTTTCAATGTGTTTTCCATCACGGATGCTTTATAAACTGATTGGTTAAATATTGGAGCATTGTCATTGGCATCTAACACAGTGATATCTATATTTACTGTACCGGATCTCTGGGGAGTTCCTCCGTCAACTGCGATCAGTTTTAAAGACAGATGGGGATGTAGCTCTCTGTCTAAAGGCTTCTGAAGCACCATTTCAACATATTTACTTCCGTCTGGATTTGCATGTTGCTTCAAAATAAAATTGACGTTTGGTGATAAAATATAATCTTGCAACGCGTTTTGCCCCACATCTAGATCCTCTGCGCTCTGCAGTGGAAACTGCACTCCGACTACAGCCGATTCACTGATTTCAAGTTTGATATGCTTATCCTTATTTGGAAAGACAGGAGCGTGATCATTGATATCTAAAACCTCAACAGTTACTCTGTGCAGTTCCATCGGGCTTTCTAAAATCATCTCAAAGCTGAAGCTACACGGCGTTTCGTCTCCACAAAGCTGCTCTCGGTCTATTCTCTCATTCACGACTAGAATCCCTTTGTCCGTCTTCAGCTCGGTGTAGTGAATGTTTTCTCCGGTCACGATACGGGCCCGCCCAGAACGGAGCCTCTTCAGATCCAAACCGAGATCCTGTGCTACATGACCAATAACAGAGCCTTTCTTCATCTCCTCTGGAATAGAATAACGAATCTGCGCACCTACCATATTAAACATGTGAAACAGAAACATAAGCAGTCCTATTTGCCCTCGAAATCCATAAAACAATGGCAGTCTTGCGCATATGAAGGTGAGAGATCCCCGCAATGCCATCACGGCAACACAGAATTAAAAAATCTGTAACCAGTGGACAAGAAAGTAAAACTAGTTTCAATATATCCGTTTGCTGATGGTTAATCACGTCCTCCGCCTTTAAATGCAAGTCTGTGAGATGATGTTGTCTCTTTGGTGCACTAAACCTCGACAAAACACAGAGAGCCTTCTCCACTGTATAGTCTGCTAAGGGATGGACTGAATGACGACATTAAACAGGATATCATTTACTGACCAACAGCGTCGCTTAGAGTCTTAAAGCTGAACATCAATTACAGCACAGCTCTGAAGCTGACAAACTGAACTAGAAATTATTTCCGAAAGTCTTTCAAAAATATATACTTGTATGAGTTCAATTGAAATACTTTGCCATTCAACATGTTATTTAATACCAGATTCTGAGTATAGGTTTTAGGAAAGAGAACATGTGTACATAAAAGAAAATGTAATGAGTAATGTAATAAAAGTTGTCTACAGTGCTCACGGTCGAAGAAGAAAAAACAAACACATATATATATATTTCATGAAAACATATATATATATATATTTCATGGATATATAATCAATAAAAAGGTTATATTAATTTACAAAAAATACGCATGTTTGAAAGCGAAACACGTTTAATTGACTCCCTAAAATAATTCAGCGGTTTGAAGGTCTTATAAATCACTCACCTAAAGCACTATCATGAAAGTGGAGGATCCTGATTCTACTTAAGACATTGCACAGCACTGTTCAAAATGCATGTGTTGCTAACGTAAACCACACTAACTGCATCTCTATTTTCCAAGCGTGAATATGTTTGACCTGCTCTTGTGACAAAACAGTTTCCCAAATTTGTATAACTAAAATAAATGGTATCTAAACAATGATTACGTTGCCAGTGCACTGTGCACACATCTGAAGGCTGAACATTACTGATGCTGCATTACTTTCCTCACAACGCATTGAGACAGAATGCAGTAAATAACACATATAAAATGAAAATCATTCAGGAGCCATTTGCTTTCCACAGGCTTATCTTTGCAACGTTTAAAACACAGCATTTCGATAAGGTTGTGTAAGAAAAATAAGCTGTCCGTGGTGCTGAAAAGGAAACGAGAAACACAAAGAGAACAAAGGGGCGAAAAATACGAAGCTAGTATGTTTGACTCACCTCTAAAGGAGAGTCAGGTATAACATGCTGTCTATGGTGCTGAAAGTGACGTGTTGTGTTAAACTGTTCTTTATCATTGCACAAAATGTACACAGAGACAAAAAGCAAAGCAATATTTTCCTAACTCACCTCTAGAGGAGAGTCAGGTTCATCCAGGATGCTCTTTTCACTCTGTATCCGCTGCATCGTCCCTGTATAACTGGGGTCCATTATCAGCACGTTCTGACTACCTGCTCCGCCGAACTTACAGTCACTCTTTCTGGAGTCAGTCGTCCTGCACACCTCGTAATTGTACACGTGTTGGAGAGTCCCTGTCCCCAAAGTGTCTGAGTAACGTGGAGGATAATAAGGAATTACAGGGAGATTGGAGTGACACATGATGCGAGACTGTCTCCACCTGTAGATCTTCACCGATATAATAACCACCAAACACGTGATGAAGAGGAAGGACACTACAGCCAGAGCCAGCACTAAGTAAAAAGTCAGGTTGTCATTGTAATCCTTGTCCTGTGTAAAGTCAGTGAACTCAGACAGCACTTCCGGGAAGCTGTCCGCCACCACCACGTTAACAATGACTGTAGCTGAACGAGAGGGCTGCCCGTTGTCCTCCACTATAACAGACAGTCTTTGTTTCACAGCATCTTTATCAGTCACCTGGCGGATAGTCCTTATTTCTCCATTCTGTAAGCCCACTTCAAACAGCGCCCTGTCTGTGGCTTTCTGCAGTTTATAGGAGAGCCAGGCATTCTGTCCAGAGTCCACATCAATAGCCACCACTTTAGTGACCAGGTAGCCCACATCTGCTGAACGAGGCACCATCTCAGCCACCAGAGAGCCACCAGTCTGGACTGGGTACAAGACCTGAGGAGGGTTGTCGTTCTGGTCCTGGATCAGTATTTTCACAGTCACGTTGCTACTCAGTGGAGGAGAGCCTCCATCCTGAGCTTTGACTACCAGCTGAAGTTGTTTAATTTGCTCGTAATCAAAAGAACGAATTGCACTTATTACTCCAGTTTCAGAGTTTAAAGACACAAAAGTAGAAACTGGACTTCCACTGACTTGTGTTTCCTCTAAAATATAAGAGACTCTGGCGTTTTGGTTCCAATCAGAGTCCCGCGCGCTGACTGCAAATATAGACGCTCCTGGTGAATTGTTCTCTGTTATGTAAGCGGAGTAACTATTTTTATTAAATAATGGTGCGTTGTCATTAACATCAGATATTTTAAGATGTAATTTTGTTGAACTAGAAAGTGGGGGAGAGCCCATGTCAGTGGCTGTTATTGTTATATTATACTCTGAGACAGATTCTCTATCAAAGTGTTGATCTGAGATCAAATTGTAATAATTTGTTAGAGAAGATTCTATCTTAAAGGGAAGTTTACCATCTATTGAACATTTTATTTGCCCATTTTTTTCAGAGTCTGGATCTTTTATATTTAAAATGGCAATTGTTGTACCAGGAAGGGCATCCTCAGAAACAGGGCTTGAAAAAGACATGATATTTATAACTGGGGAATTGTCGTTGACATCCAAAACATCAAATACAATTTTACTTGATCCGGTTAAACCACCCTGATCCTTTGCCTCTACTCTCACTTCGTATTTTCTGTCTTTTTCATAATCTATCTGCCCAGACACAGACACTATGCCGGTGTTTTCATCAATACTGAATAAATTTGCTGCACTTCCTTTTGTTTTTGACAAACTGTAAGTAATATGTCCATTTGAACCACTGTCAGCGTCTGTGGCATTTACTGAGATAATGATCGTGCCTTTCAATGTGTTTTCCATCACAGATGCTTTATAAACTGATTGGTTAAAAACCGGAATGTTGTCGTTTGCATCTAACACAGTGACATCTATATTTACTGTACCGGATCTCTGGGGAGTTCCTCCGTCAATTGCGATCAGTTTTAAAGACAGATGGGGATGTAGCTCTCTGTCTAAAGACTTCTGGAGCACCATTTCAACATATTTACCTCCATCTGGATTTGCATGTTTCTTCAAAATAAAATTATCGTTTGGTGATAAAATATAATCTTGCAACGCGTTTTGCCCCACATCTAGGTCCTCTGCACTCTGCAGTGGAAACTTTACTCCCACAGAAGCCAATTCACTTACTTCAAAACGGATAGGCTTATCTCTATTTGGAAAGCTGGGAGAGTGATCATTGATATCTAAAACCTCAACAGTTACTCTGTGCAGTTCCATCGGGCTTTCTAGAATCACCTCAAAGCTGAAGCTACACGGCGTTTCGTCTCCACAAAGCTGCTCTCGGTCTATTCTCTCATTCACGACTAGAATCCCTTTGTCCGTCTTCAGCTCGGTGTAGTGAATGTTTTCTCCGGTCACGATACGGGCCCGCCCAGAACGGAGCCTCTTCAGATCCAAACCGAGATCCTGTGCTACATTACCGATAACAGAGCCTTTCTTCATCTCCTCTGGAATAGAATAACGAATCTGCGCACCTACCACATTAACCGTGTGAAGCAGCAACATAAGCAGTCCTATTTGCCCTCGAAATCCATAAAACAATGGCAGTCTTGCGCATAAGAAGGTGAGAGATCCTAGCAATGCCATCACGGCAACACAGAAAAAAAAAATCTGTATCCAGTGGATAAGAAGGTAAAACTAGTTTCGATGTATCCGTTTGCTGATGGTTAATCACGTCCTCCGCCTTTAAATGCAAGTCTGTGTGAGATGATGTTGTCTCTTTGGTGCACTAAACCTCGACAAAACACAGAGAGCCTTCTCCACTGTATAGTCTGCTAAGGGATGGACTGAATGACGACATTAAACAGGATATCATTTACTGACCAACAGCGTCGCTTAGAGTCTTAAAGCTGAACATCAATTACAGCACAGCTCTGAAGCTGACAAACTGAACGAGAAATAATTTCGGAAAGTCTTTAAAAAAGATATACTTGTATGAGTTAAATTGAAATACTTTGCCATTCAACATGTTATTTAATACCAGATTCTGAGTATACGTTTTAGGAAAGAGAACATGTGTACATAAAAGAAAATGTAATGAGTAATGTAATAAAAGTTGTCTCCAGTGCTCACGGTCGAAGAAGAAAAAACAAACACATATATATATATTTCATGAAAACATATATATTTCATGGATATATAATCAATAAAAAGGTTATATTAATTTACAAAAAATACGCATGTTTGAAAGCGAAACACGTTTGATTGACTCCCTAAAATAATTCAGCGGTTTGAAGGTCTTATAAATCACTCACCTAAAGCACTATCATGAAAGTGGAGGATCCTGATTCTACTTAAGACATTGCACAGCACTGTTCAAAATGCATGTGTTGCTAACGTAAACCACACTAACTGCATCTCTATTTTCCAAGCGTGAATATGTTTTACCTGCTCTTGTGACGAAACAGTTTCCCAAATTTGTATAACTAAAATAAATGGTATCTAAACAATGAATACGTTGCCAGTGCACTGTGCACACATCTGAAGGCTGAACATTACTAATGCTGCATTACTTTCCTCACAACGCATTGAGACAGAATGCAGTAAATAACACATATCAAATGAAATCATTCAGGAGCCATTTGCTTTCCACAGGCTTATCTTTGCAACGTTTAAAACACAGCATTTCGATAAGGTTGTGTAAGAAACATAAGCTGTCCGTGGTGCTGAAAAGGAAACTAGAAACCCAAAGAGAACAAAGGGGTGAAAAATACGAAGCTATATGTTTGACTCACCTCTAAAGGAGAGTCAGGTATAACATGCTGTCTATGGTGCTGAAAGTGACGTGTTGTGTTCAACTGTTCTTTATCAATGCACAAAATGTACACAGAGACAAAAGCAAAGCAATATTTTCCTAACTCACCTCTAGAGGAGAGTCAGGTTCATCCAGGATGCTCTTTTCACTCTGTATCCGCTGCATCGTCCCTGTATAACCGGGGTCCATTATCAGCACGTTCTGACTACCTGCTCCGCCGAACTTACAGTCACTCTTTCTGGAGTCAGTCGTCCTGCACACCTCGTAGTTGTACACGTGTTGGAGAGTCCCTGTCCCCAAAGTGTCTGAGTAACGTGGTGGATAATATGGAATCACAGGGAGATTGGAGTGACACATGATGCGAGACTGTCTCCACCTGTAGATCTTCACTGATATAATAACCACCAAACATGTGATGAAGAGGAAGGACACTACAGCCAGAGCCAGCACTAAGTAAAAAGTCAGGTTGTCATTGTACTCCTTGTCCTGTGTAAAGTCAGTGAACTCAGACAGCACTTCCGGGAAGCTGTCAGCCACCACCACGTTAACAATGACTGTAGCTGAACGAGAGGGCTGCCCGTTGTCCTCCACTATAACAGTCAGTCTTTGTTTCACAGCATCTTTATCAGTCACCTGGCGGATAGTCCTTATTTCTCCATTCTGTAAGCCCACTTCAAACAGCGCCCTGTCTGTGGCTTTCTGCAGTTTATAGGAGAGCCAGGCATTCTGTCCAGAGTCCACATCAACAGCCACCACTTTAGTGACCAGATAGCCCACATCTGCTGAACGAGGCACCATCTCAGCCACCAGAGAGCCACCAGTCTGGACTGGGTACAGGACCTGAGGAGGGTTGTCGTTCTGGTCCTGGATCTGTAATTTCACAGTCACGTTGCTACTGAGTGGAGGAGAGCCTCCATCCTGTGCTTTGACAGTGATAACCAACTGTTTGATCTGCTCGTAATCAAATGAGCGCACTGCATGTATCATTCCGCTTTCTGCATTTATAGAAACATATTCAGAAACTGGAGACCCACCGATTTGAGTATCTTCCAGAATATAAGATATACGGGAGTTTTGGTTTTCATCCGGATCTTTAGCTCTCACAGTGACAACAGAAATACCCGGGGAGTTATTCTCTGCAATAAACGCACTGTAAACAATTTGTGAAAACGCAGGAGCATTATCGTTCACATCAGAGATCTTTAAATTAAAGTTTTTTCTTGTCGAGAGAGGAGGCCTTCCTGCATCTGTCGCAACTACAGTGATATTATATTCTGAAACACTTTCACGATTCAATACAGTATCTGTTACCAAAGTGTAGTAATTTCTTAAATTAGATTAATCTTGAAAGATGCATTTTGTTCTATTTTACATGTTACCTGTCCGTTTTCACCTGAATCAAGATCTTTCACATTTATAATGCCAATAGTTGTACCAGGAGGAGAGTCTTCTGACACAGGGCTAGTGAAGGACATGACATTTATTACAGGTGAGTTATCATTCACATCAATCACCTCAACTATGACCTTACTTGAGTCTGTTAAAGCTCCTTGGTCTGTTGCTTCAATGCGTATTTCATACTTCTTTGCTTTTTCATAGTCAACCTGCCTTGAAAGAAATATCACACCCGTTGTTTTGTTAATTTCAAATATGCTGTCTATGCTGCCTTGCATTTTGGAAATAGAATAATAAATCAAACCATTTGATCCGCTATCTGCGTCAGTGGCATTAACCGTGATGATATATGTACCTCCGGGGGAGTTTTCCACTACATTAGCCTTATAAACTGTTTGATTGAAAACAGGAGAATTATCGTTATTATCCAAGACAGTGATATCTATAATTACCGTACCCGATTTATGTGGCGTCCCACCGTCAAATGCTATCAGCTTTAGGGACAAACTTGGATATTGCTCTCTATCCAGTGGTTTCTCAAGAACCATCTCAGCATATTTTCTTCCGTCAGAATTTGAATATTTTTTTAAAATAAAATGTTCATTTGGAGATAAATGATAGTCCTGCAGTGCATTGACTCCGACATCAGGATCATTGGCTGTTGGCAAAACAAAACGTGCTCCAGGTACGGCTGATTCTCCAATCGTTAATTGCATGTCATGCTGATGAAAAGAAGGTGAATTATCATTAATGTCCAATACTTCGACCGTCACGTGATGCAGTTCCATCGGGTTTTCCAAAATCAAATCAAAGCTGAAGCTACACGGTGTTACCTCTGCACAAAGCTGCTCTCGGTCTATCCTCTCATTTATTACCAGCGTCCCTTTGTCTGTCTTCAGCTCGGTGTACTGGATGCTTTCTCCTGTCACGACACGGGCTCGACCAGAACGGAGCCTCTGCGCAGATATTCCGAGGTCCAATGCGACATTACCAATAAGGGATCCCTTCTTCATTTCCTCTGGGATTGAATAACGTATTTGACCGCCGGCAATATGACTGAGAAAAATAATAAACAGAATGCCTCGCGACGTCAGTCCGTATCCCAAACGCCATCTTAGTGTCCAGTAGTCATATTTACCGAAATCCATGTTATCAAATAATGTATGGGAAATAATACCATCCAAACACTGCTCATACAAAAAACGAACTATTAACGAGAGTGTAGTTTATGATAAAACGATTTGTATTTCGTTTCTTTCGTGGTGAAAAATATCAATTCAAACACAGTCTATCTGCGCCCACTTCAACGTCGTGTACGGTATGAAGCATATTCACTCTCCACAGAGCAGGATGTAGAAAGGCACAACCTGAAACACTGTTCAGAGTTGTTTAACTAGACCAACAGCGTCCCTTAGAGTCCAGTGAATGAATATCAACACAAAGTGGGGAAATTCTTGCAAATGTAATTTTCATACTAACATGATACCGACCAAATAATGCACCATATCCATCGCAAATTGAATACATAGCACCGGGTCCCTCATAATGTATGATGTCATACAAAATGTAACACACATGCTGTTAATCACGACACAGCAAAACATACAAATAAAGAAAAAAATTGTAAAAAATCTCCAGTGGAGAATCAAAGTGCCATACAACACTGCATCAGTCACTGAAGACATATAATTACCAAGTAATTCAAGATAAGAATAACAACAATGCCCTCATTAGTCTCATCAATGAGCACTAATTAAAACACTTAAATCACTTCACGTAAAGACGTGAAAGCTGCAACACCTATTTAGAGAAACAAATATGTACCAGTTTTTGCATTATAGTAAATATTAAATATTGATAAAGAGTGGAAATGTAGCTTTTTAAATTTAAACTATTTAGAAAAAAAAGGTTTGAATTACATGCTGTGCACATGTCAACATTGACATCAGATTTGGAAAAGCAAGGGCTTCAAGATCCTAACTATAACATGGATGCTGTCTATGGTGCTGAAAGTGACGTGTTGTGTTAAACTGTTCTTTATCGTTGCACAAAATGTACACAGAGACAGAAAACGAAGCAATATTTCCCTAACTCACCTCCAGAAGAGAGTCAGGTTCATCCAGGATGCTCTTTTCACTCTGTATCCGCTGCATAGTCCCTGTATAACTGGGGTCCATTATCAGCACGTTCTGACTCCGGGCTGTGCCAAACTTACAGTCACTCTTTCCTGAGTCAGTCGTCCTGCACACCTCGTAGTTGTACACCTGTTGGAGAGTCCCTGTCCCCAAAGTGTCTGAGTAACGTGGAGGATAATAAGGAATCACAGGGAGATTGGAGTGACACATGATGCGAGACTGTCTCCACCTGTAGATCTTCACTGATATAATAACCACTAAACACGTGATGAAGAGGAAGGACACTACAGCCAGAGCCAGCACTAAGTAAAAAGTCAGGTTGTATTCCTTGTCCTGTGTAAAGTCAGTGAACTCAGACAGCACTTCCGGGAAGCTGTCCGCCACCACCACCTTAACAATGACTGTAGCTGAACGAGAGGGCTGCCCGTTGTCCTCCACTATAACAGTCAGTCTTTGTTTCACAGCATCTTTATCAGTCACCTGGCGGATAGTCCTTATTTCTCCATTCTGTAAGCCCACTTCAAACAGCGCCCTGTCTGTGGCTTTCTGCAGTTTATAGGAGAGCCAGGCATTCTGTCCAGAGTCCACATCAACAGCCACCACTTTAGTGACCAGATAGCCCACATCTGATGATTGAGGTACCATCTCAGCCACCAGAGAGCCACCAGTCTGGACTGGGTACAGGACCTGAGGGGGGTTGTCGTTCTGGTCCTGGATCAGTATTTTCACAGTCACATTGCTACTCAGTGGAGGAGAGCCTCCATCCTGAGCTTTAACTACCAGCTGAGTTGTTTAATTTGCTCATAATCAAAAGAACGAATTGCACTAAGAACTCCAGTTTCAGAGTTCAAAGACACAAAAGTAGAAACTGGACTTCCACTGACTTGTGTTTCCTCTAAAAGATAAGAGATTCTCGCGTTTTGGTTCCAATCAGAGTCCCGCGCGTTGACAGCAAATATAGACGCTCCAGGTGAATTGTTCTCTGTTATGTAAGCGGAGTAACTCTTTTTATTAAATAATGGTGCATTGTCATTAACATCAGAAAGTTTAAGATGTAATTCTCTTGAGCTAGAAAGTGGGGGAGAGCCCATGTCAGTGGCTGTTATTGTTATATTATACTCTGAGACAGATTCTCTATCAAAGTGTTGATCTGAGATCAAATTGTAATAATTAGTTAGAGAAGATTCTATCTTAAAAGGAAGTTTACCATCTATTGAACATTTTATTTGCCCATTTTTTCCAGAGTCTGGATCTTTTATATTTAAAATAGCGATTGTTGTACCAGGAAGGGCATCCTCAGAAATGGGACTGGAAAATGACATTATATTTATAACTGGTGCATTGTCGTTAACATCTAGAACATCAAATATAATTGTACTTGTTCCAATTAAGCCACCCTGATCCTTTGCCTCTACCCTCACTTCGTATTTTCTGTCTTTTTCATAATCTATCTGCCCAGACACAGAAACTATGCCGGTGATTTCATCAATACTGAATACATTTGCTGCACTTCCTTTTGTTTTTGACAAACTGTAATTTATGAGTCTATTTGAACCACTGTCCGCGTCTGTGGCATTAACTGAGATAATGCTCGTGCCTTTCATTGTGTTTTCCATCAGAGATGCTTTATAAACTGATTGGTTAAAAACCGGAATGTTGTCATTGGCATCTAACACAGTGACATCTATATTTACTGTACCGGATCTCTGGGGAGTACCTCCATCAACTGCGATCAGTTTTAACGACAGATGGGGATGTAGCTCTCTGTCTACAGGCTTCTGGAGCACAATTTCAACATATTTACCTCCATTTGGATTTGCATGTTGCTTCAAAATAAAATTATCGTTTGGTGATAAAATATAATCTTGCAACGCGTTTTGCCCCACATCTAGATCCTCTGCGCTCTGCAGTGGAAACTGCACTCCGACTGCAGCCGATTCACTCATTTCAAAACAGATAGGCTTCTCTTTATTTGGAAAGCTGGGAGCATGATCATTGATATCTAAAACCTCAACAGTTACTCTGTGCAGTTCCATTGGATTTTCTAAAATCATCTCAAAGCTGAAGCTACACGGCGTTTCGTCTCCACAAAGCTCCTCTCGGTCTATTCTCTCATTCACGACTAGAATCCCTTTGTCCGTCTTCAGCTCGGTGTCGTGGATGTTTTCTCCGGTCACGATACGGGCCCGCCCAGAACGGAGCCTCTTCATATCCAAACCGAGATCCTGTGCTACATTACCGATAACAGAGCCTTTCTTCATCTCCTCTGGTATTGAATAACGAATCTGCGCTCCTACCATATTAACCGTGTGAAGCTGCAACATAAGCAGTCCTATTTGCCCTCGAAATCCATAAAACAATGGCAGTCTTGCGCATATGAAGGTGAGAGATCCTAGCAATGCCATCACGGCAACACAGAATAAAAAATCTGTATCCAGTGGATTAGACGGTAAAACTAGTTTCGATATATCCGTTTGCTGATGGTTAATGACGTCCTCCGCCTTTAAATGCAAGTCTGTGAGATGATGTTGTCTCTTTGGTGCCCTAAACCTCGACAAAACACAGAGAGCCTTCTCCACTGTATAGTCTGCTAAGGGATGGACTGAATGACGACATTTAACAGGATATCATTTACTGACCAACAGCGTCGCTTAGAGTCTAAAAGCTGAACATCAATTACAGCACATACCACACTCAAGCTCTGAAGCAGACAAACTGAACTCTACCTATGGTAGAAATCATTTCGGAAAGTCTTTTAAAAAAACTACTTTACTGTGGTAAATTGAAATATTTGCCATTCAACAGGTTGTTTAATACCAAATTATAAGTATAAGTTTAAGGCAATAGGACCAGTATGAATAAAGAAAATGTAATCTCACTTTCAAGAAAAGTGGTCTACTGTGCACACGTTCGAACAAGAAAAACAAGAAATATACATAAAATGGTAATCTTCATGTTAAAAATATAGGCATGTTTGAAAGCGAAACACTTTTGACTCCCTATCATTTAGTAGTTTGCATGGTCTGATAAATCAATCACCTATAAGCAAAATCATGAAAGTGGAGGATCCTGGTTCTACTTAAGACATTGCACAGCACTGTTCAAAATGCATGTGTTGCTAACGTAAACCACACTAACAGCATCTTTCTTTTCCAAGCGTGAGTATGTTTTACCTGCTCTTGTGACGAAACAGTTTCCCAAATTTGTATAACTAAAATCAATGGTATCTAAATAATGATTATGTTGCCAGTGCACTGTGCACACATCTGAAGGCTGAACATTACTGATGCTGCATTACTTTCCTCACAACACATTGAGACATAATGCAGTAAATAACACATATAAAATGAAAATCATTCAGGAGCCATTTGCTTTCCACAGGCTTATCTTTGCAATGTTTAAAACACAGCATTTCGATAAGGTTGTGTAAGAAAAATAAGCTGTCCGTGGTGCTGAAAAGGAAACTTAAAAACACAAAGAGAACAAAGGGGCGAAAAATACGAAGCTAGTATGTTTGACTCACCTCTAAAGGAGAGTCAGGTATAACAGGCTGTCTATGGTGCTGAAAGTGACGTGTTGTGTTCAACTGTTCTTTATCATTGCACAAAATGTACACAGAGACAAAAAGCAAAGCAATATTTTCCTAACTCACCTCTAGAGGAGAGTCAGGTTCATCCAGGATGCTCTTTTCACTCTGTATCCGCTGCATCGTCCCTGTATAACTGGGGTCCATAATCAGCACGTTCTGACTACCTGCTCCGCCGAACTTACAGTCACTCTTTCTGGAGTCAGTCGTCCTGCACACCTCGTAGTTGTACACGTGTTGGAGAGTCCCTGTCCCCAAAGTGTCTGAGTAACGTGGAGGATAATAAGGAATTACAGGGAGATTGGAGTGAAACATGATGCGAGACTGTCTCCACCTGTAGATCTTCACTGATATAATAACCACTAAACACGTGATGAAGAGGAAGGACACTACAGCCAGAGCCAGCACTAAGTAAAAAGTCAGGTTG